ATGTTGTTGGACAATGATATAAGTATTTTCCTTTTTAATTAAGACTATTACACCAAATACATAAACATGATTATACTGAATGAAATATAGGTGTTAACTATTTACCAGCTAGAGGAGAAGTTAGGACACAGAATTTAAAGTACTTTCCTGAGGCCCAGCAGTCCCCAATATCAAACTACATAAATGTCTGCAATTCACCCTCTGCGGAAAATATTTACTTTTTGTTAAAATTTTGCTGGAACGAGGTGAGGAAACACCTCTTAAAGATGCATTACAGCAGTCTATCAATCAATCAGTAACAAGATGCTCAAAAATGATGTAGTAAAAGATACACTTGGAATTACAACTGAAAAAGTCTAATTTTAAAGACACTACTCAAAGTCAAGCCATCATAAAACAAATCAAGCTCCATGTATGCTTTGCAGCCTTGGGTAATCATAAACACATTAAAACAACAGTATCACGCTTTAAAGGGGCTTTTTTTCAGTGTAACTTGACTTTCAATCTGAAAACAACAATTTTGGCTATTTTTACAGACAGAATGAAATATCTAAAGTGTCTCTAAATTAACAAGTACCACTTACTCCAGACAGCATTGCCTTTAGCAGCTCCTAAAAACTTCAGAAAAGGATCTTTAAACAGGAAGCTTAGTGAGCTCATAAAACTGTTGTTGGAGCCAGGAACACATAGCATATTTAATCTGCAAACTGTGAGAGTCTACAATGATTTCAGCAAGATCTGAGGCATGCCCTCAAGGTTTGCTGGGATCTGGGATTAGGGAGTTGATAAGAACCTCTACTGCCCATGGACATGTTTTTCTTCTGCAGTTAAACACAAATGCATAGAGACGTTTGACTGCTGCTTGGCGTTACTGCTCAAGTTATATAAAAGCTTTGCAGCTCCTTTTGCTGTCAATATATCAAAGTTAAAAAAAATCATCAAAGTGTGAAATTTCATTTAAAGTCTGTGCCAGTCTACAACTCTATTTCACAGACCTATCAAATAAAAGTAAAGATGAAAAATACACTGAAAGTACTTGAAAAGTTTTCAGCAGCCATGCCCTATTTTTGTTTATTCTGTCTCATTTTATTTGATTTAAAATTATAACAAATCAATGCACAAATAAAAATGACAAAATCTAAGGCAGTGGCAGGGGGGGGGGTGGTCTATAAAACCTGTAGTTGAAAGTCAATTTAAAGTCATTATTAGAGCTGAACCTTTTGTTGAATAAAAAGCTTCCTCTATAGCCATTTTAGCATTTTAATTACCTAGCTGCAAGTTGGCAGAAAATGTCTTGACTCTTCCAAAACAATCAGAATGACTACAAAATATGAGTGCTAGCAAAACTAAAGCCTTCTTCAAAGTATTCTTTAGCTAGGGATTTACAACAATTGCATAAAGAAGAAAAGTCTGACTTTTAAGATAATCTACTATAGTCTAAAAGCATTAACATTCCATTACTAAGGTTTTCCTAAAGATTTCATGACTCATTGATTCACTTTTCCTTCAAGTCTTCTTTTTCTTAGTACATTACAGTCTCCATATAGTTAAGTGCATGCAACCTTGATCATTAAACTGCTTCCTTTCATAATTCCCTCCTCCTCCCCCCAATGGATCTTGCTTTAATAAGCATCAGATACCTTATTTACTGGGAAAAGATTACTAACTTTTCAAGAACACTTTGCAACCAAACAGATTTCACTTCTTACTTGAATTCAAAGAGTCAGGATCAAACCAGCTGCTGGGTGCAGGGGGAAATAGTTTTACCAAAAATAAGAGAGAAAGTGTAATTCAAACTTTCCAAAGTTAGCATACAATTGATAACTGAAAAGCAATTTTATTAAGTAACTTACAAAAAGAAATTAATTCTACTAACAATTTTAATGGAGGAGTCTTAATATTTTAGTTTATATACCAGCTAATCCAAAATAAAAATAATTAAGAAATTAAACATGGAATGTTTATAACACAACTACAAAATACCTCATTTTCATTTCAAAATATACCTTCAGATATGAACTTTACATGCATTGCTAAATGTTGTGTTGGCTAATGCATACATTTCAAGCACAAAACAGGAGTCAACTCATTAAGGAAAATACAGGTAATTCTTTGTTTTGTGCTACTTGGGCAGGAAAATGCTTTGGAAAACAGAATGCCATACTGAAAGCCATGTGCAAGAAATGCACAGATTTACTTCCTTTACTCTTGTTTTTTTTTTTTTATTTTTTTTAAAAGAACTATATACAACTAAAACAGTGTCCCTTTTCCCCACACATTAGTATTTCTCAACCACATGATCTTTAGTGTAAAAGAAATGATCTTCCGCTTGTCTCATAGATAATGTTATTTAATGTTTGCTTTAAATTTGAGTGTAGACTAGCCAACTAAATGCATTATGTACTAGCTTGTTAAACCCAAAATTTCATTATATAAACCAATTCTGAGCATACTTCATATAGTTTACATTGTTAAATTCATTCACCATTACATTTAATATAATCCCTCAACTGAAATCCTGTGGTATATTCAGAACTATTTTTACATTTTAATGTTACTCTTCTTTGAAAACATAGCATTTTTCTCCCTTCAAAAATAATCTTGACATATGTAATTAAGAAACTGTCAGATCATTATTAATTTTTAATAAAGGACCTAAATGAAATAATTATAGGAATCAATCAGTGAGGTACCTTTCAAAATTACAATGCAATTGCACAAATATTCAAAATACTTAAGGCCCATTCTTGTGGATCTCAATTCATAATCTCCCAAAATACCAAACCATAAAGAGTTGTATAACACAAAGAAATTTAGTGATTTCTAAGTATTAAAGAGACTTAAATGGTTCCCATATAGATACATATATCAGGCATGTAGAGACACACAGTGAGAGACTCTGGCACCCTTTTAAAAAGATTTGTTAATTTAATTAGCCACATATTTCAAAGGCTTTGAACCATTTTTAGATTGGAGTTCTTCTGTGATCCAACATGAAGGAAGTTAAATAAGCATGACGAAACTTCAAAATAAAAATATGCTTTATTAACCCTTGAAAATAAAGTGTGGTGCATGGTATGCACTGCTAGCTAGCACTCCTCTGGTTAATTAGACTTTAAACATTATATACCAAGTGGACAACCATCCATACCTTTGACTAAAAAGGCTCTTTTACTTAGATATCCATACAGTCCATCATGTCAAACAGAAGTGGCAGCTGGAAAATGTGGAACAGCTGGCAAAGAGCTGAGAGAAAATGTTTTACATAAATATATCTACATATAAACTGGCAGAAGGCCACAAACACTGTACCCAAAGGACTGGCTCAAAACTATACACCAGAGGGTTAAAAAAATGGAGGGGCGGTGTGGAGGGGATTCCTTTTACCTTTTCTTTTCACGTGGTTCCAGGACTAGGAAGCTGCACATTTAGAGGTGTGTGTGTGTGTGGTGTGTATGTGTTTATATCATCTAGGTTGGAAGAAGAGCAACTGTGCAAACAACCTAAGTTTACAGGCTAATTAAAACAACCTCATATCCACTTTCCTAAAATGCTTTAAAGTTATTTGATGGAAGAACATGCAGAGGTCCTAATACGGATTGGTTTATGGCAAATCATATGCGCTCTCCTTCTTCTCCATTCCTCCACCCCCCAAAAAAGTCGAGAAAGTAACTGTCGGGAGTGATTCATACTCAATCCCTCCCCGTTGCAATATTTTTCTCCATACATTGCGAGGGGAGAAGGAAGGAGGACGGGGGAAATTGTAGAGGGTGTATAGATCCCAGCAGTTTGGTGTATGCAGCTTTCCAAGTTCCAAAGGCAGCACTCACAACAACAAAATCATAAAGAGAAGGCACAACTTTCACTTTTCCTCTGTTATGAACGAGACGCCTTCCCCCATCCCACTCCCAAACCGTTCCCCTGAAACTCCTGCAGATTAATCAAAACAGAGTAATAGGAAACGAACCTCCGTCTCCTTTTCTCTCCCCAAAACTAACACACACATCTGAGTCCTTCCACCTATCCAGACAGCACAGGGTGTTTGCTACAGCAACAAAGTTTCAGCCAAAGAAACTGGCATGAAAATAACAAGCAATTTCTTTGGGGGAAAAGCAGCTGCTGCATGCAAATCTGTAGTTCAACTGTGGGACATTACGCCTCAAAATCCTTTCGGAGTGCAGTAGGGCAGGCAGAGAGAGAGAGAAAATACTTACATATTATTGTATAGTTTGGGGGGTTTTTTGGCTTTAAGTTAAGGACAGTTTGACAGACATTTTTTGGTTAGATCTCGGATAGTCTCCCGCTCCCCACTCTTCCAAGTTAAAAAAAGAGAGAGAGAGAGCTCGGAAATGAAAATAAAGTGCCCCAAACCTCTGGCTTCTTGCAACCATTGTGCAGAGCCCATTAAACAAAGAAGAACTTCTTGCAAAACTCAGTACACGTACCTGCTGCTGCTGCTTCTGTCAAGCCCCCCAAACTTCCCATAGAAAAGGTAGGGCTGCTGTGTCTCACACGCACAGTGCATGCAGTGGGGATCTCTCTCCTCTTTTGCAGAGCTTAACAGGACCGACCCCAAAGGATGAAAGCGGGCATTTTGCTTCTGTTTGGGCGGGGGGGGGGGAGGGATGGATTGAGAGAGAAGAGGCCGGGCGGTGTGTGTGTATTGGTTGTTGTTTTATTCCTGCCCTCCTCCCTCAAAGAGAGAGAGAGAGACAGAAAGAGAGAAGCCCTCTCCGTTTGTGTGCGCGCGGATCCGACATCAGTTTCAGTGATCTTGTAATCTGATCCCTTCTGACTCACCCGCACTGACTGACATTTCTGATTTGGTTCAACAAAGGGGGGGGGGGAGAGAGAGAAATCTACCAGAGTGTATCAAAAAACTTGCATCGGAAGGGCCCCCCCTTCCCTCTAACCAACCCATATAAATTGCATTGTAGCCCCCTACCCTTTTTTAAGTCCACCAAAGGAGAGAAATAAAAACACTCTGCTCCGATACTCACGTGTTGGAAAAGTTGTCCCTTTCGCCTTCCTCTCTCTCTGTCTCTCCTTTCCTCCTCCTCCTCCTCCTCCTCGTCCAAGTTTTACAGATGTTGCAGGACTCCTCTCCGCCACCACCCCCTCCTCCCCTTCTCTCTTTCAATACTCCACTCTTAGTCCAGAGGAGGGGAAAAGAGCTTCAGGGAAGGGCACATTGCTGGTTCAACCCCCCTGCAGTGCGGGTAGAGAGGGGCACTAAACTTTCTGGAATGAGGAAAGATCTTCCCCCTCCCTTACTTTTGTCTGACTCCCTTCTTTGGATTTGCCCGGTGGAAGTGCTACAAACGTGAGGGTCACCCCCTCCCCTCCTCCTGTACACTGGGGAATGTAGGAATATTTCGGTGAGGAGGAGGGAAGCCAGACCGAAGTCAGAAGAAGAGAAGGCGTGTGGGAGGGGGTGTGCCCCTGGGTGCTGTTCAGTGCCTGGGAGTGAGGGAGAATGAGGAGCTGGGACCAGCAGAAACACGCGCTCTCAATCTGATGTCCCCTCTTCCCCCCACTTCTCCTTTCTTTTCCTTCTCCCCCCCCCCTCAGCTCAGACACCAGGAGGCCACGCCCATAGCTGGGAGGGATGGGATGGGGGGAATCTGTTGCCTTCACCCTCCCCTTCCTTCCCTCTAGTATCAGTTTCTCTCTCTTTTTCATCTTCCTCTCTTCCTTCTGTCCTGCTCTCTGCTTCCCTTCCCATCCTCAATCTCTGCCCAGCTCTCAATCTGTGACAGAAAGTCACACTTGTTCTCCTTTCCTGCTCCTCCTTTTTTACCCTGGCCTCTTACTCTGGTTCATTTTACCCTCTGTTTCTCTCCCACTATCTTCAAACTTCCTCAGTACCGCCAGCCCCCAGCATTCAAAAATCATGAGTCAAGACCCATAAAAGCATGAGATTTTTTAAAAACAATATATTTGAAGTGTTCTATTTATTTACCTTCTGGTTTTTGCCCCCTCAGGGTTCACATTCTCAGGCTCAGCACTGCACCCACATGGGCTGGAAACTTACTTTTTCAATTAAAGCTCAAAGTCTCATGAAATCACATGACTCCAGGACCTGGGGCTGTAAGAAAAAACACCAAGGATCAGAAGAATTGGAAATATTATTATACTGCCTTCCTTCTCCAGTATTGAGCCTCTTCTCCATTTAAAAACCTGCCTTTGAATTTTTTATCCCTCTTTTCTTTAGCTTTTCTCCCCCAGACTAGGACTACAATGGTAAACCTTTAACATGGAGAATTACTTCTGCATTCTGTCAAAATTCCCATTGTTTTGCTCCCTAGCCCCCATTGTTCCCCCTGGGGTTCTACAGGCATTAACAACTCACCCTGAGGCTGTGTTTTTAGGTTCCACAGGTACTTGGAACTTAGCTGAGGGTGTCAGTTATGGTGCCAAAAGAATTCAAGATTGTCCCTTCTCATGTTTCAGCCATTCAAGAATCAAAATACCATGCCAAGACCAGCTCTTGTGTTATTTTGGCTCCATACATGGGTCTCTTTGGCACTAAAATAGCCTGAGAAGAGCTAATATAAATGAACAGTCACACCCACCCACCCATATCACATCATTCTCCAATCAGACCAAAGGTTTGTCCCCTTCAGAAAGGAGTGGGTATATGCATTAAAGCACATTCCAATATATACCTAATCGTGTCAATCATGACGTATACCCAATGGTGTAGCCCAATACCAAACCTTTGATATGCACCTTTTTGTCATGATCTGATTACCAGGGGAGCCAGGCTCTTGACTTAGACCCTGATTCAGCAAGATGCTTAAGCACATAACAAACTGTAAGCACCCACATACTCCCACTGAAGTCAATGTTAGTTAAAGTTAGGCATATGCTTAAGTACCTTCCTGAATTGGGAATTTAAATGAGAGCACGATCAGGCTTTAATGCTATGGCCCTCACTATTGCAAGTCTTGTGAAATTTCATATTTTTCTTAAAGCCCCAGATGCCTGAATCAAAAGATTGCATGAGAATCTCACCTTTTTTTTAATATTAAGTTCATTAACATCTTCATGACTACAGAGAAAAGCTTGAAAATGTGAAGCACCTGTATCCTAAAGATTTAAAAAACAGAAGACAAAAAGAATCCAACATTTTTTATTTTTTTTAAATCTATGATTTTGGGGACCTGATCCATTATTTTTGAACACTTGGGGATGGCAATATTGTCTGAATTTTCCTACAGTTTATATTGTTTTCATGAACATACTGACTTGATGGAGATGGTGTATTTGTGGATTGTTAACTATTAATTTTTCACAGCAATTAGAGATCCATGATACCCTTGCTCACAGTGAGTACCCTCTTATTTCACACACAGTTCCACTAACCAGTATAGGACTAACGGTGGAGTAAGGATGTAAGATTCTGGTCTTATTACTGTTTCTACTAGTCATGAGTTATCTGTTGTGATTTGGGAGAAAGTTAGTTGCCACATGACAATACAATGGTAATGTGAAATATGACAGGGGTAGGAAAAGTGGCTAGAAGCCTATTTTATTCACTCTTTTCTTCTTTCTTATATTTTTTTTGATTTTTTTATAGTTTAAAAATGACCACAGTCAACTTAATCTCCAGTAAATTAAAAATAATTAAAAGTCCTTTCAGGTACTACATTGATCCTTCAACTTTCCATGCCATGTTTTCATGTTCTTATAATCACATTTTCCTTTTAAAATATTTTTCTCTCCCCTTTTGCTGCATGAAATATCCTCAGAAGCCAAAGGGGAAACTGACTTATTATACAGAAAGTACTATTAAATAAAAAGAGAAACTAATTAGAAAAATGTTGTTTATCTAATCTCTTTCAGGTCTAGTAATCTGAGATGTTAGTGGTAACAATAGGCAGACAGAAGTGTGATTTTAAGTTGAGGGTGTCCAGTGCTTAATTTGTACTGAAAGAGATGCCGGGGCTCAAGAAATTTTTTTACATTCATAACTGCCAAGTATAGAGGTATTGGGGATCAGCCCTGGTACAAATTAAGCACTGAGAGTGTCCCTTTAAATCAAAGCTCCTCTTGTGAGCAATAGTTGACTTTGAACTAGTGGGACTCCTCTTTCCTGTGAATTTGAACATTTTCTCATGCTACAAAATAATATTTCATCTTTTACTATTCTCACCAACACTGGGTATTTTCAAAGCATATCTTTCAGCCCCCATAAAATCACCAGTGTTCCCTCATCTCCCCCCCCCAAAAATTAAGACAGCTGAGAAATTTAAAAACTTAAAAGGAATCAGAGTGTTTTCACTTCTGTTTATGGGAAAAGAGACTTCTGATACATCTTTGAGCCTTGAAAATCTTGAGGGAAGAGGAGAAACAAAGAAACAACCAGGCTTTCTGCCTTTGCCAGTCTGAATGGGTCAGACTGAGCAAAAAAAGAAAAAAAATATATGAAGGAGAAGGGGTGACATTTGCCATTTGAAATGTATTGTAAATGTTTCAACACCTTGACAATGAAACACATAACAGAAGCTTAGAACATCCAAGGCCCTCCAGCTAAGCAAAATGAAAATGGGCAGATTTGTTTAAGGAGGTTCCTTCCTGAAGATTTGTCATGTCTGTTTTAGAGAATTCACACTTTAAAGAAGAGTGGCAAGGTAAAAAATATTATGTTAACAAGAAATCATTACTTTGGGGTTGCATTGCCCCATTGATAAAACTCACACTGGGAGATTCACCTATATGATTCCTTTGGGAGCAGGTGTTGCCCCTTGCAGAATAGGCCACTGAGTCAACCCCAACCTCCACTTCTCTACCATCCACTATGTCAACCGCTCCTTGGTAGTATGACTCCATTAGAACTCAGGGCTGCCAAATATCGTGTTTCGTGCGACACTCAAACATTCATTCCTGCATCACAGCTGCCTTCCTTCTTGCTGCTCCCCCTGTTGGATCAAGGCAGGAAACAGCAGCCAAGAAAAGCAAGCAGTGCAGCAGGGACAGCTCAATATGAGGCTCAATTGTAGGCTCCACTTTCCCCACACATCCAGCTGCACCAAACTCCCCTTCCCACCCACACCCCACTCCAAACCCTGCAAATACCCAAACCCAGGAATACCATGGTCTGAAGGACCCTCTAACTTTCAGAAGTCCCCCACCTGCCTCCCCAAGCAATCCAAGCACCTCTAAACCATCCAGGGGTTCCCTGCACCTCCCTTCCCATCAACAGTGCCTAATCCCCAGCAATTCCAACAGCACTGTAATCGTTACTTACATGTTAGCAGTTGACAAGGGAAGTTCAAAAATCAGAAAACTAACAAAAAAAAATCATGTTTTTTGGTCTCTGTCATGATTTTCTCACTTGTGATTTTTGAGCTTTTGGAGTAGACAATAATGTATTACTCACTGTTTTAGTGTGAGTTTCATGGTATTTGGTGCTTTTCTTAAAGACCCAGCTCCTGAAATTCTGATTAGGTGAGAATCTCAGCTTTCATTTAAATAAAAGTACATTTCTAACAGTCATAGCTGTAGATCAAAACTTGAAAATGTGACCTAGCACATTCTAAAAGCTCAAAAAACAGTAGACATATAAAAAGAATTCCAAAATTTATCTTCTTTTTTTTTAATCTCAAAATTTTTTAACTAGTCTTGTGATGGGAGGAGGGGCTTACTACTTATTTTTACTGTGAATAGGAGAAGGGGAGAGCCACATATAGTGGAATATCTTAGATAATTAAAATTATAAGAATTTCACAAATCTAAATCACTTGCCACAATTTATGTTATCTATTTATTTTTAATTTTTTGCTTTTCACTTAACTTGTAAGGGTCAACTTGACTTGCTAGGTTCAGTTTCACTTTCTGGAATTCCTTTGCTTGCAAACAGATGCTATGTTTCAGTTCCCAGCACCACTGAAGAATGTTTAAATTTTTTAAAATGTAATTATTTTCTTACTTATTTTTAGTGTTATGAAAACATTTCTGCCTCATAGGATTTTGTAAAATCTACATTTGGGGGCCTGAATTACTTGAGAGTGTCCCTTAAAGCCATTTTCAAATCTGTTTATCTCCCTAAAGGTTCCTAGCACGGAAACCTGGGTCCTGAGTCGACTCCCAATGAAATCAACAGAGATCTTGCAATTGACTTCAATGGGAGAATGCTGGTGTCCCTAATGATGAGGATTATCATTCTACTCTAGAAGATCAGCTCTTATCCACCATCCTCTTTTTCTGACTATTTAATCTATCTAGTGATTTATACCACATGCATAGGGTGACCAGAGAGCAAGTGTGAAAAATCGGGGAAGGGAGCGGGAGGTAATAGGTCCCTATCTAAGATAAAGCCCTGAATATCGGGACTGTCCCTATAAAATTGGGACATCTGGTCACCCTACACACTCATCATCCAAGTGCCTTACAAGTAAATATAACATGTAGGTCATTGCCTAGTGGTTTTCTCTCCTCTCCCATTTTAAAGTATAGACAGGTATCTTGCTTTTTATTTATTTTATATATAAAATATAATATTCATAAATATAAAAATATAAACAAAGCTGCT